AAGCTAGGTAAGCGGTAATTGTACAAGTACAAAAAGCTCATTATTTTGCTCAAATAAACTGAAAGACAGGTGTTTAATGCCATGCCCACAGTGTGTCATGACATTTCCTGTACTACGAGCCTGGCAACATCACCACAGCAGACTGCAGATACCGCCTGTCTCTCACTTTACTTGTGGACACAAGGCAAGCTAAGTAAAATAAAATCCCATACATCTAGTCAAGATTTCACTCCCAAGAGAGAAGACCCAACAGACTCCTAGAGAACGCAACCAGGAGAGAAAATTCTGCAGACTGTATTGTTTGGTTGTTTTTTTCCCTCTGACCAAAAGAAAACACAAAACAAAAAACCCCAAAACTCCAAACTTTCCCCAAAAAAGCCTAATCTCCCAACAGCCACCAATCAGCCAGCCAGACCTTTCTGTCAGCACCCGGGAACCTGTGTTTCTGTGAATAAGCTAATGTTATCTCTATGGTTTCCAAACATCTGGCGGTCAGGACTCCTCACTTCTCTGCCTTCATACATTTAATGCCATGCATTGGGCCTTCCAACAGAGTGTCTGCATTTGTCACTGATGAAGGAAGGACCACAGCTGGGAAATGCAAGAGAGATCGTCAGCCAGGTACCACGTTAGAAAGCACACCACAGCACAGCACAAATTGGTACTCCTGAGATACTGACCTGCACCGTTGTAGGGTGTTAAGTAGCTGGCCCAGCTGGGATGGTGCTGGGGCTTGTTTCATGGGAGTTGTCACAGGACGACTGGTCTGATGAAAATTCAGTTTCCTCTTCAAAAAAATACTTTCATGGGACTTATTGCAAACATACACTTGTTGACCATATATGTGTCTTTAAATTGAACCTGTTTCATTTTAAAAACAAATTGTTGAGTTTGCATGCATTTTGAGTTGGTTTGCTATATATGCAGCTTACAGCTGCCTTTCTCCTGCCATGAATGACTCTAGCTTACTGAGTAGGGGTTTCCCAATGCCACAATAGCTTATTTTTTCAGTAGAGAAGCCAGCAACAGCAATAGGGACAGAAGAAGAAAGGAGGTTAAGTAGACTGCAGTTTTCCTTCTGCCATCCCCACTCTGTATCAATACTACCGTATGGTACATGGAGGCTTATCGTTGCACACCTACAAAAATTCCTTTCCCCTCATGCAGGTAGCAGCTGTAGTGGCCCTATTTCTTACTCATTCTTTTCTCTTCTGTGCTTATCCCACAATGCTTATTAAACTCAGTCCATCTGAAAAACTTTCCTAGCCAAGGGATGCCAGGCAAACTGAAGAGATGAATTCTATTGAGCTGTATAGCAGGCTTGGGCATCCAGACAAATATTTATCCTCATGCGGTATCACGTACAGCACCACACAGACCATGGTCTTTCATTGTGACTCTTAGTAATTTTTGATCTGAATTGAGGATTTGATCTTATCTTTAAAATAGCTGGATACCACACACAATATGTACTGAAATAGCAAGGCACAGTGAGCTGTGTTTAAAGTAAACATAACCTGACTCAGGAAGCTTCCTTTCTTTGGACTTTTGCAAGTTTTTGCAAGTTTTATTTGACTTACTTTATTTTTTCCTTCACTTTTTTTTCATAGCCGTTCTACAAAATAAACCATTTTCTTATTTGAAAAAAAATAAATAAATTTGGAACTCCCTACAAAGCAAGGAAATTGAGACTTAAGGCTGTTGTTCTGCAGCAAAGACACTCCAGCAAAGAGCTGCTGGTTACTCCACAGAGCTGCTGGTACTGCAGACCTTCAATCTCAGATGTGTGGCAGTTAAAAGAGCTCCCCACTTGGAAAGCACTGCAGCATGCACCAAGGCAACGGGCTAAACACAACACAGAAAACAGATATGCTGAAAAATCAGATATGCTGAGAAATCAGATCCTTGGCATTTCCTCCTAACATTTTTGTTGAGTATGTTTTAACAGCAGACACAGTATCAAGTTGTCAAGGTCTAGTTTTATGTTTTCTAGGCATGTTGACAAAAGTATGAGGAGGTCAAGGACTAAAGCAGCAGCCCAAACGGATTAGAAACCAGACTCCTACAGGTTCCCAGTGCTCTACTTCCAACTATTAGACCACCCCATCTTCTCTGGATGGGTCAGCTTCCTTTGTTTTCCTTTTGGTGACATGTTTAAAAGACAATTAAGAGGCTTGTTGGGACTCTGTCAAAAAGCTCTTCTACACAGCAGATACTCAACACCAAACTCAGATGAAGATGGTCTGTGCTGGGAAGGATTTACAGTAACCACAGTGTTACCATAGCCACTGAATTTGTGTATCAATTTTAAACAGTTGGGATTGTGTTTTCAGGCACACACCAAATCAGCTGATACTACACTTGCAGCCATGCACACCCATCTTTCTTTGCCTTCAGAGAGCGTTGTGCCTGCTCTTGCATGCTCTAGTCACGATACCCATCGAGTCCTTTTTCCTTAAATAGCATTTGCTGTACTTCAACCAAAGAACTTAAAAAAAAAAATTAAAAGTACCCCAATCTCAATCTCATCTGTAGTACAGAAATCATATGCTGCCAGCCTCAGCCAAGTCAAGTTCCAGATCTCGGTCCTTATCTCCCAGGAAAATAAATGGCCAGGCTGGGGGCTGGGCTGAGAATAGCCAGCTCCGTGGTGTGAGACGTGACTTTTTAGTCAAGAGCTCAGCTCTCCTATGCACAGTGGAACTGCTTTCTAGAGAAGTAATTTTCATTTCTGGCACAGATTGAGTTTTCTCAGGGACGAGTCCCAAATAGTCTCATCTCCCTTTCCACTCCGAGGCCAGCAATGTTTTCTTTCTCTCTCACAAAAAACTCACAGAATTAAACACATCTTTGACAAAAAGCCAAATCCAAGGGAAAGCAGAGAGCTACACACACAATTTCCTTCTGGAAAAAGTATAAAATAAAAAGTGACTCATACAAAATAAATGCTTCTGATACTTGCAGGCACTTGGGTATTTAAGGTCTGAAGATGCTGAAAGCATTTCTGCAAAACAGAACTACCTGTGCTGCACAGGGGTATGCAGCTAATCAGTCCCCACTAACACCGCATCCACAGAAATATCTGAAACACATGCTGCTCCTTTTTCAGCACTATAATTTGTCTCAGCTGGACTCTCTTGAGAATCTTTGCTGCAAATGTATACAGGAAATAGGCATTTCCTAGCACTACTTCAATGTGTTCCCTACCATCCTGATCTTGAACCTTTACAGTCTGTCCCTGGAAATAAAATCTTACATCCATCCTAACCCGAATTAGGTACCTGTAGGTTTAAGATGGCTTAAGCAATATTCAGTGCCAGGCTCTTTAAGTGGAGTGAAGAGGTGGTCAAATCAAATGAATCAGAACTGGATCCTGCATTGATCTTTGTTACTGTCTTCTCCCTTACTTCACATTATGCCATTGGTAGGTTTCACCCTAGCCAGACTGCATGCAATCAAAGCAAAAGTACTGCTTGAAACTAGTAAAAATAGATTTGTAACCCAATATAGAAAGCATAGTTCAGAAAGTCCATTCTGCTGAACAAGCAGAAGTACACAGAAAGCACAGAAAAAACTCAACTTACCTGTAATGAGTCCCTTCTCTGCACTCACGTACAAGTGTTCCTACAGTTTTCCTATTGGCAACGTGGAGAGCTTAAACTTTCATCATCCAGCTGTGCTTAGAATTTAATTTTTTTATTCCCTGTTCTTCTGCTAATGGCATGAAGCTTCAGGATCCAATTAAAACAGCAAACTGTTATTAGAAGTGGAAAAAAGACCAAATGTTCCCTCTTAAACAAAACATACAGTTTCTGCTGGCCTCAGATGAGGTTCCTTCACCCTAAGTGTTAAAGGGCTGTCACACTTCTACTGTGGTAGATGAGCCCAATTCACTACTGTACTTCTTATTAAGCCTTTCCTTTCTTACAAGTTAAAAGAAAAAACCTCTAATACCAAAACCCCCTTTTACTTATTTCTATACCTTTTTCTCAATAAAAATTTATTTCTATACCTTCTTCCCAGTGCTCATGAACAAATTTTGAAATAACAATGAAATTGTCCCCGCTATAACACAGTAGAGTCAGTGTTAAACATATGACCTAATAAGCACCTTATGTAAAAAAGAACAAATTAAACACGTTATAAACCCTGGGAATCTCTAAAAAATATTGCTCTTTCAGCAAAGTCTTTGAACATTTTGAAATATTCAAAGAAATTAAGCAGCTGAAATGTGTAGCTCCACTCATAGGATAGGATGCTCCAGTAAGCTGAAAGTATCAATATTAGATTACTGAAATATGCTGCATGATCCAGAAAAAAACCTAAAAGCTGAAGCTACTGCACTGTGTAGCCCACTCAGCAAAGCACACAGCTGGTCCACAAAAAAAATGGGGAATTCACATAGCTTCTGGAACAGTTTAGAAAATCAGCTATAAATCAGAACAGATTATTTAATCTGGAAAAGGTAAGAATTAAGTTGAGAAGAATGAGGATAAATCAGAGGAATAGGCACATTAATCAATAATTGCAGTCTCATTGCCAAGAGATTACATTGTGGGGGAGAAACCTGCCTGGTGACTGAATAATAAAAAAAAGCCTATTAGCATAGTAGAAGGTTCTCCTTAAATAAAGTGCAGTGCAGGGAAGCAGGTACAGCAGACAGCAAGAAGATGGCTTTTCCTTTTTCTTTCTCCATGCAATAAGACAACATATGATGTCTGAAAGACCTTGATGCCCTCCAAAGAGATGCCTTTCAAACTCAAGGGCATTAAAATCCACTATATGTGAAGAATATCCTTAATTTTATTACTTGGACAGTGAATGAGGAGTCTATGGAGGACAAAAGGATTTTGTTCACTTATTTGGTTTTAAATTTACACGGAATGCACAAATCAAATTACCAGTGGTTCTTCATGGCAATCAAGACCTACACTCTACCCAGACCATAGATAGCATGTATCGAGAAACAGAGCCACAACTGTTTTGAGCTGAAACACCCCTTTCATCATCTTACGATTTTCTTTTATTTCAGTCATATCATTTGAGAAATCTAAAGAGGAAATGCCATTTCCAAGTCTAAATGAACAAATTAAAGATGAGTTCTTTTTATGAAGACACACTTGGGGAGGGAAGTCTAAGAAGCAGGATCACTCTCACTAGGAGTCCACAACAATGCGTCTCCCTCCTAACTTATTGTAAGTTCAAATGAGAAAAGGAGTCTTCTAGATATTTACTCCTGCCACCTGCTTTACAAGTGACAAAGAAAGCAACTATCCAAAAAGAAACTGCATAAACTTGCTTACAGTATCAGCGTTTCCCAGATTACAGTTATTTTCTTGCTGTATTTTAAACACAAGCATCTTCCGTATGAAATTCAACTGTCGTATCAAGCTAAATGCACAAAGTAGAACTGAAAGAGCTGGCTGACTGTTTATTTTAAGTGAATCATTTTTTTTTTTTTACAGTTTAGTGTAACTGGAGGTAGATGCATTAAGTGATTTTTTTCCAGTGGTTTGAAGTAATAGTCATCTGTGAACATTAGGACAGAGTACTGGAGATTGGAACAATCTGTTTAAAGTTAAGCCTACATAAACATGCAAATGAAACAACAAAAAATAAATCACAACAGGTTATATGATGATTGTCAGTACAGTACAGTGCAGATCTTCTTGGAGGAAAGGCAGTTTCTGTGTTGTCAAAATAGTAAAGCTAGTAATGCAAAAAATTGTATGATGTATGCTACTTGAAAAGATATACAAAATTCAGAGACAGAGTATTACAACTATGCCTTTCACATTATTTCCCATATATCTCAAACCATCAAAATCAAGTTGAAGGGAATTACATGGCAAAAGAGTCTGTAATCTGCTGTGTATGAATATATTCTGATCTCGCAGGCAGGAGTTTCATTTCATATAATGGTATGAAAATGGATACTGCCCTTGTCAGGAGTTTTGCCCTAACCAAGCCTATCAGCCTCACTTTCAGAGCTGTTAAATTTGTCCTCTTCAGCAGATGCCTTTGTAGGAGTAATGGAAGCTCCCAGAAACTCCAGTTTAAAGTACTTTTACAATTACACTGTTACTTGGCCCATTCAATGAAGAAGTGTTCACTGGCCTGTAACTGGGGACAAATACTAATAATCAGACAGGACTTGGCTATAGTTTATCAACAAAATTATGTGGTAGTGCCCTTTCCTTAGAATTCTAGATTGATGCAAAGGAGCAAAAATGGTCTGCTGTAATATAAATGCCAAAAAATATAGTTTTATATTTTTAGCAATAAAATGGAAAATGCTTTTAAAATAAAATCTTAATTTTTTTTTAAAATTTCCAGCAAAGTTTATTGAACAGATGGATCACCCAAAATGCAGATACTTCTGTAAACTGAAATACTACCATCTATCTGCATATATGACCATGCTCTGCAATATAACACAAACTGATGCTCAAGAACAAATTAGAAAGTATCAGATTGTGTGCTTTGTGTTTCCTTGGTGCAATTTCTTGCTAGGTGCATGACATTTTGGGATCAATTAAAGAATAGATTTAAGCATGTACTTAATTCAAAGACCACAAGTAACTTCACTGGAACTGGTGGGACTCCTTACAGACTGTAGCCCTCAAATGAGCAGGCTTATAATGTTCTGCCCCTGGCAGTATGGAGTCCATTTCAGGAAATGAAAGATGCCAAGTAGTAACTAACTCATTCTCACCCTTCCCTACTAAGAACAGAAAGCTTCCCAAATTAAGCTTACAGGAAAGCTCTAGGCAAGCCTCACTCACCATGCAGGTACGATGGGCCTTTTAATGTCAACAGGCAGGATTAACAGTTGATCTCTAATATACAGAATACATACAATAAAACTTGCACTGGCTTTAAAATGGGAATGTACTTCCTGGCTCAGGAACCGTGAATCTGCTCTGTAATGCACAAAAGGTATTCGTTTTCATTTGTTTTCTTCTTATTTAAACCCCAAATATAGCATTCAGTATAAATTTAAGTACTTTACATATGAAGCTGATTTATATAATATTTGAAACTTTACAAAATAGTACTAGTCAATAAAAAGATCAGGTTTAAAATATTTACATTTTATACATAATTTTCCTCTACTTACAATTATTAAATAATCTTCTGTGGTTTCCTTAATTTTATGGAAAAGCTTTTAATAATTACAAACTAATTCTGAATTAATTTCAGATGTTTTTTTTACTTAAAAAGAATTTTAGCAAAATCACATTTCTAATGTAAAACATTATCCTCGTGTTTTCAGTAGCAATTATACATCTATATTCATGTTTTATAGCTGTTTTCTAATGCAGTCCTGTTTTCTATAATAAACAGAGAAGATCTAAATAAGAAAATGGCACAGTATGGATGGAAACATTATATTCCCAACTCTTAAATCCCTTTATGTCATTTGGCTTCTAGAATATCCAGTTTCTTGATAATTTATGTTATTCTTCCAGTACTTTCAAGGAATCACAGATTCAACAGTTATTTAGATTTTTGTGTCATCATCTTTTGAAAAGTTATTTCCTGAAGGTACTTCACAGAGACTATCGCCATCCGTGCTGAAATCATCATCGTCATCATCAGAATCAGCCAACACTTTACTTGGTGACTTCTTCAGTCTACTAAAACAAAAACACACACATCTTTGCTATTAAAACAGCCCATCTAGATGAAGAACACTTATGTAAAGCTTAAAAAATTGACAGGTAGGTTTTACATTTTTTAAGATGTCAAAGAAACTTGTGCTCCAATAGGCTCCAATTCATTCCATGCAAGAGAATGAACATCAGTGAATCATATTTTCAAGCACCTTTAACTGAAGTCACAGCAAAGGGAAACCATAAACTTTACACAATGAAATGTTCAAAGATGGGTGAGGAAAACTGAACACAAGATACCTGTTCCTCTCAGTCGTTAGCAGGAAGTTTTTATTACTACAAATGATAAGAGCGTTTTTCCATTTTTTATTCCCTGCCTCAATGACTTTCTTCAGCAGGCACATCTTGGAAAGAAAGTTTGGGCACCTAAAGCACCCTGAAAAGAGTTGGAGAACATTTGTAAAGAAAGAAAATGTAGAAGAGTTTTCACAGGTCTCTCTCTTAAATTCTGTCTGCTTATGACAAATCTCAAGTTTGTTAGAGGACTCAGTTCATGGACTAAAGGAGCAAGAGATCAATGTTGTGAGTGGCGGTGTGATACATAATTGTAAGGTCTGACAAGTCATCCTACCTTAATTCCTTCTTTGCAGTGTTAAGCTGTCCTTGTAATTGTTCATTTATGTCTAGTTGCTCTTCCAGTTCCCTCTGGAGTTTCTTTTTTGCACTTTCCAGTCTGTCTATTTCTTCTTCAGCTACTTCAACTTGACGTTTCATTGCTTTCAAACGCAAACTCAACTGAAATATTTACATGTCAGCTGATTAGAGGACTATTTTAATAAAGGAATTTTATTCTTCCAGCATCTATGAGAGGGAGAATAAAGACACAACTGTCGTGGTTTTGACACCAGGACAACAACTTTGCCAGTGTAGTGACACTGTAATCCTATGCTTCAGAAATATTCGAAAGTCAGCATTAGACTTTGAGAAAAGTGACAGGATACAATTTTTAAAGAAGAAAAAACAGCAACAAGTGAACATAGCTTTAGTAGAGTAAGACAGTATTATGTGATAGCAAGGCAGTTATCAATAAGGGAAGACTGGAGCTACCAGCATGTCTAAGTTAAGCAACTTTACCAGTCAGATACTATAAAATACATTTTAAAAATCAAGTGGATTTTAAAAGATTGCTCCCTTAACAAATATGTGCAATTTGAAACATACTGTTCAGTATTTGGGCAGAATATTAACTATTTGACTTATGTAGTGAAACAAACCACATTTTAAGCTGGGAATCAACAAACACCACAGGAATGGTAGAGCATATTGCTCTTAGAATATCAATGTATATCAATACTTATAGCCTATATTTAACAATAAGTAGCTTCTTTCTTTAAACAAAATTTTATGGTGGCAAAACAGTATATATCATCTGTTTGTGTATTATTTATAGGATCATATTTTGATATATATATTCATAGGATCATACACTGTCTGTTATTGGCTTAATTTCTTAAAATAATTATAGCCTTGCTTCTATATGTGCTTCAGTTTAGTACTAGACAAAAGAAAATTATCACAATGTGAACTGCAAATCTCACTAAATGGGAGGTCATAAATAATGGGGTAAACATTATCTACCTATTTCTGCTCCTATCTTTTATAAATTATTTACGCTAGTAGTATTCACATCAGGTATTTGCAATATTTGTATATTAGTCTTTCCCTCTACCTGGTCCTTTTGATCAGTCAATGAGAGATGTTCATCATCTACTTGCAACATTAACTCCTTCACTTTTCTCTCAAGTCTTCGGTTAATTAGTTGGAAATTAGCTCTATCCCTAGAAAAAACCAAAACAAACAAAAGACAGGCTTATTAAAAAAGGAACTGAAATACTTCCAAATCATGCTGACATAATTCCTTAGCAATTTTCTAAGAATTAAATAAATACTAACAGGCCCTGTTTTGATTTACTGGTTCCATGCAGCATACCAAGAAATGTGCTCAAAAGAATGGAACACTAAGTGGAATTTCTTCTGTCTTCAGAGCAACATTTAGAAAAAAACCACACTCCTCCAAGATTAAACAATGAAATGAACATGAAAATGGAAGTGTTAAATTATAGTTAGCATTTCTAAGCCTGTTACTGATATCAGACATTACAAAATAATGAGGTATGGAACCATGTTAGCACTGTGCCCAGTTTTAAATTTGTAAGGCAACTTCTAGCATGCTTTCATTTGAAAAGAAAATTCACAATACTTGTATGAAACAGGAATCATTTTAACTCGGCACTTGTGAGGAAAAAAAAAAAATCAAGTTAATTGTATTAGACACTTAGTATTAGCAAGATGCCATACTAAAAAACATAAACATGCATGTTTGATTGTAACTAGTTTCACCTCTCTTCATTTTCAAGCCGTTCTTCTAGCTCTGTGATCCTTGCTTCCATTTGAGCAACAAGTCCCTCTTTACTGGATCGGTAAGAACCCTCCAGGTGAAGGATTCGGCTCTTCAAGTCTTTGTTCTACAGTTGGAACATAACTGATTACTACAAACATGTTCATGTTAGTAAATATCACCTCAACACAAAATAAATTTCTCCATAAAAACACAAGATGGTAAGTATATTTTTAATTTAGTGAATGTGGAAAAAGACTATCAGTGAGATTATACTGTTTACTACAAATGCATCTTCTATTACTGCGCTTTATTTAAAAGTATTTAGTGCTAAGCTGAGTTAAAGTTTTAGGCTTAAATGGACCTTTGAACTTCATATGCTTGCAAATCCCTTCCAACAGCATTTTTAATAAGCCAAAATTCTTCAAATAGCATTGGATCTATCTTATTCTCCACAGAATTCTTTTGTCAAATTCTATATTCTTCCCCTGCAACTCACTTGTGTAGGATAAAACAAGTAGACAAAGAAATTACTTGCATCCAATATCGCTTTACTCTACCCAAGCTGTTACTGTGGGTTTTTTCCTTCTTTCTTGACTATTCAATGCCACTCCTACTACGTAAGTTGTTTGAAAAACTTTGCAAGCTACAGAATTTGTTGAATAAGTCAACTTTTTGCTCAGATTTACACTCAATTTTTATGAGGCTAGGTAATTTAGGTTTTCAATGGGGACCTCAAACCAGGACAGGCCTAAATATAAAGTTGCCAAAAAAAAGAGAAGAGTTACAGAACTTCAAGCCATGATCTCAGATCTCAAACACTGAAAAAGCTATGACAGGGTAGTCAGAACTAAAGTGTAAGGATGGACACGGGATATACCAGCAGGTGGCATTCTTTTTTCTCAAACAATTAAGATGGGTTCAATTTAACATAATTTAAGGCACCAAATTAGATGTCTGGTACAAACATGTTATCTAGATTCCCGTTACAACCTGTTTATGTTCTTGAGACTGTCACTAATACTATGACTTGCTAAGATAGCTTTCCTCTGGATCTCAGCTAGGGGTTATAATAGTAATCTTGCTTTCAAAGACTATTGAGCTGCAGAATAAAACCTTGCAAAAAGCTAAAAAGTATTTTTAATGTACTTTCCACCACAGATATTGAAACTTATGAGTCATATTCCTTCCTAGACAACAGAGAGCAGCATTTCTCTACCAAATCTGTATCTTTTCTTTCAGAGGCACATCATTTTTCCACTTGTTTGCTCCTACAGAAGAAAGTACTTGACTAAAATCACAATTGCTTAAAATTATGATCTACCTTCAACAGTGTTCCTCAAGTACTGTTAAGACTCTGAGGAATAGCTCATCCAAAAGTGGCCAAAGGATTTACAGCTAAACTGGATAACCATGTCTTCAACATTCTACAGTCCTTCCTGTGTTATGTGCTTTTAAAAAGTTTCTCTACTGATATCTCAGTTTTATTCTAAAACAAGTGTACCATATCAACTGTCACATTTCTTATTTTTAATGTGTCTGATGTTCCAACGTATAGACAGAATTTGTGTGGTAGAGAGATGCCTGCATTCACTACAACAAAAATGTCTTATTATATTATATAAATAGTTGTATGCATAGTATGGGTGTCTACTATATGAAATACATAAACTGTGACAAACCTCAAGCTAAAACAGGGAGTACAGAAAGAAAAAAAAATACTAAGAGAAGACAATTCAAAATTACAATATTTTCTTTTGACTACCAATATTAAGATACTCATGGTTTTTCATCTATTCTTATTAACACATACTTCCAACAGCACACCATGGTGGGATAGTAGGGCCTGTTGTGACAGGACATGGGGAAATGGTTTTGAACTAAAAGAGGGTAGATTTAGACTAGATATAAGGAAGAAATTTTTCACAATGAGGGTGGTGAGACACTGGCCCTGGTTGCCCTAAGAGGTGGTAGATCCCTGTCCCTGGAAACATACAAGGTCAGGTTGGACAGGGCTCTAAGCAACCTGATGTAGTTGAAGATGTCCCTGCTTATTGCAGGGGAAGTTGGACTATATGACCTTTAAAGGTCCCCTCCAACCCAAACTATTCTATGATTCCATGACAGTGCCAGCTGCCAACTACTGTATTCCTTAAATGCTTATTTGAATTTCCTAATGAAGGTAGATAGCCAGCCCATTATCTTGCTCGTGTGATGGTATGCCAGCCAAAAATACCTGTCTTTCCAGTGAAATTTTGTCACACTCCAAATCTTGCTTTATTGCTCTTTCCTGAAGTAGCTCTGTCCTCATTTGTTCAATCTATTATAGAAAGAAAAGACAGACATTTAAATAAAAGATTTCATTTACATTTACCTATATGATACTGTATGTAGCTATACATACATATACATGAAGAACATATAGACAATGAGAAAAAAATGTGCTCTTTCTTAGAACTCAAGACACATGCATGATTTCAAATGTAGTTTACAATTACAATCTTGAAGAGAATTTTCTGCTTTGTGAAGCCCACCTTATTCCCAGTGGTTATTATATGTATTTTCTGGCCATACTGGCTATTACTGATGTTTGGTATATATATTCTGTAGCAGGGAACTGAATTCTAAGATGTTGCACGAGAGACATAACATGTGGCAAGCAACTGAGTTCTGGAACATCACATCAGTCTTCAAACACCTTCTACAGTTGTTTTCTTCGCACTTCAAGTCTGGAGCTCTGAAATGGCACCTTACCTTTACACTGCTCGCTAGTCTACTTTGAAGTTTCACATCATGGAACACAAACAGGTAACTGCAGAGAAGTGCCTACAGCTCAGTGAGAAACTCTAAAGGCAATTACAGTTTTCTATGCTCATGAGAATAGCAAAAGCTCTTTTTCAACAGGCTCTGATGCATGCTAGATATGAACATTCCTTCTCTCCTGCAGTCAATTTTATGCCTGTCGTGCCAGGACAGCACTGACTTCTGGATCTGAGGAGAGGTGGGTTTTGTTTGTTAAAACACAACTTTTTCTGTAGTTTCTGTAAATATTTCAGTTGCATATTCAAAACACAGAATTAGCTTGGCTTATCTCACTATTGGACTTGACTGGGAAAAAAAATAATTCTGAGGATCAAGGAGAAACTCTAAACTACCTAACAGCTGCTACTGAAACTTTGGGGAATAAAGGAAAAAGTTTGCAGTGCCCAAATACTTTTCTTGCCTCTCATTCCTGTTGGGACTGCCCTCAAGGTTTTACATGTTCCTTTGCAGGCACAGCTGATGTTACCACAGCATTTGTGCTATTCCCTACATAATGTTTACTATGATGAATATCACCTGGGGAACACAGTGAACACCTATGCCAATTATTGTACCTGCAGAAAGACTAAGAAAGGTTTCTGCAGCCACTGCATTCTTCCCTACTTTACACACATTTACATATGAACTTCCATAAACACACCATCTCAGTTAAGTAACTCTAAGTTACAGATTTATCTTACTAAAGGTCTTTCAAAAGCCATTAGGAATTCTTGCATAAAAAACATCCAAAAGCAATGCTAAGAATGTGAAGGTTAAACAAGTACAGCACATGAAATTTTACCTTAGGGCTTTTTTTTTTTAAACCACATTATAATATTAAAAGATATATTTTTAGCTAATCACATGCTTAAAAGAAGTTATTTACACTGTTTCTGTAGCTTTGAAATGAATGTATGAATACAGACAATGGTAGCAACGCATGCAGTTGCATACGGTTATGTCTCAGTACGGTTTCAGAACAGTAGAAGGCATTCCTGAAAACTAAGGTCATAACAGTTACTGGACTACAAATGTTAGCACATAGCTGCGTTCTCAACAGCTGGGTAGTTTCCTAAAAGCTCTCATTGTCACATAGAAACCTAGGAATAACAAAGTTTAATACATTATATAGTAAAACATTGGCTTATATATTAAAATATGACTTTCTATATTAAAATGAGAATCACTCATGAATACAATAGCTGCATTTATTCATTAAATATATGAAAGAAGTTATAAAGCAAGGGATTACATAGAATTTATTCAGCTGTAATTGCTTTAGCCATGAAGACAGACACAGAAAAAATAAGGCAAAATTTGTAGTAAAATGAATGACTAATTAAAAATGCAACTGTTAACTGAAGAAAGGGTTTTTGTTTTATGTAGGGACTAGCTCAATGGACCACTCTAAAGTTCTACTGTGCTCAAAGGCTGTGACAAATTTGTGCAACCTTCCTAAGATCTCAAATTAAAGAAGTATTTAGAGGAGAATTATTATATTTCCAAAATGACTGCTACTGTTGTTGGATACCTTGTGGTAAAAGCAGCTTCACAGAAAAATAGTGGGAGAGAGAAGTACTATATCTGATAAGGATCAGAAAGCTACATGCAAATATATACAAGAGCTTGTAAAAAGAGAAGGGCAGAAAGACACAATTCTTCCTGGGGGAGATGGAAACTGTTTTCACTTATCTCCTTGCACTTTTCATTAGTAAACACATAATTAACATGCACAAAGAAAAAAAAAACAGTTGTATGCCAAAACGTGCTCATACTTTTCATTTATTTCACAGCAGTTAAAACAAGCTCTGGGTATGTACCATGCGGAGCTTTGTGCTTCACATTCTACCTTTCATATATTTAATATATTCTAATTATGTTAAAAGAATAAACGATTTCTGCAGCTTAAGGCAACAGTTATCACAGCTGGATTTGAAGAATGCTAACAAAAAAGAATTGAGAAAAGCAATAGTATCAGATTTTACAAAGCTTTATTAGACATAACAGTCTTTTGTGCCAGCTTTAGGATTAGAAGCAGCTGTTGAGCTCATTATTAGTGAAAACAATTTGATTTCTAATATGTTAGATGCCATCACTATTGTTTACCATCGTGCACTAGGTTCACAGCCTATGTTTCTTCCTAATACTGAAGTCGGGAAAAGGAATATATGTATGCATATGTGCGTGCCTATATAACTATATATATATATACTTATATACATACACCTACATACACAATTCTCAAGTATGTGACCAAAAAACTAATATTTAACAAATGAATAAGCTAAAGCCAAACAAACCCCTTTGATCCTTCATAACTGAAAAGCAACCTTCATGTCCACATTTTCATCTGTTTGCTTCCCACACCTGGTGCCAGCTAAAGAGGAAGTATATAGCTATCCATTGGGAACACTTTATCAAAAGCAAGTGAATGATGCAGTCAATGCAATTTTATCCTTCTATATTTATCCTAAAATTGTCATTGAAACTGACTAGTCCATTTTTCACACTTACTGTAAACAATTCTGAAGTCAATAGACTCATGTTTGCATTTTTGGAGAATATAAGAATTGATGAGGGCATCATAAGTATTTTTCAATTATGTTTCCAAAAAGAAAATGGCAAGAGATGCTTTATTTCACTTGTTTGGGGGTAAAAAAAATCATCATGTACTAAAATGTGCCCCGTCCCTGCTCACTTTAGACTCAAAGGGCAGCTGTGTGCTCTAGCTTTCTACGTGTGTGTGTTTGTTGACCATTTTGCTCTTTCCAGAGTTGCTAGTAACTTATAATTTAAAAACTAATAGGACATGATCCACCTTTTTGCCCAAACTTTTTTACTTTTTCCACTTTGTTGTGGTACTTCTTGAGAATGAGGTAGGGGAGATGAGAACAGTGTCCCATCCAGACACTGCCAGATTCAAAAGCGTGTTTAAATTAAAAAATGGTAACATTTCACGGTAAATGAGATGTGAACTGTCAGCCTTGCCAATGTTTATTCAAACATTTAGCTTTATGTAAAATAGAACCAGTTGAATCAATTGGTTTTTACTAGAAATTTGAGCATTATAGTTCATTAACAGTATATTAAAATAACACATTTATAATAATAATTAAAAAAATCCCCATTTGCAGAAATACAGACATTACCAAAACCGACCCATTATAATTTCTCATGTCATTATAAATGCTTAGCAGACCCTGAAATACTCTTCAGTAATTTGACTATTTAGTCATTCTGGCATAAAATCAAAACAAAGCAACCTTTGTAACTCATGTGTGAAATGAGAAACTCCAGAGCTCAAAATAAACACGTCTTTTGCGCATTATGTAACAATTTGGTCACCCATCTGTATTTCAGGTTTCCATTCAGTTAGCAAATTAACTCACTGTAGTACCCACTAGTGCAGCTATGGCTAAGGTTCTTTTATCCCAAGCTTACAACGCAGGCGTAAACTCTAGTATTAAAGGTTTTCTAATTTAACAGTAGCATGACCTCACATTATTATGGAACCTTTACATTCTGTTTCACCCACTGACTCACAGTCTGTACAATATCAGTGGAATAATGACAAAAAAACTATTCTGCAGCCAAATAGAACCTCAGTAACCTGAGTCCCAACAAAGTTGTAACGGTGCCTTGATGCTTTCAAGGATCATGAAAGAAAGCTGAGCTCTAACTCACTTCAGAGCTCTCTAGCTGTCTCAGTGGAATAGACAATTTCATTGAAAAGACATAGAAACTAACATTTTACTTTTCGTTCTCCCTCTGAATTACAGCTATTCAAAAGAATGCCAGCAATTCTTTTTTTCTGGAGAAAGAGAAAAATAAAACCAGAACAGACTATCGTGGGTTCTATCTCAATGCAAACTGTCTTCTGGACTTTTAGGAAATTACTAATGGTATAGTACTTCATGTAAATACAGTAGTAGACACGCCGTATTTAGTTATGCATGTTTCACATCTTTCAGAATGTAAAACTAAGGCAAAGAGCATTGTCCAGGCCATGATATTCCAAGACAGCCACATCACCATATTCCTTTCTGTGGACTAATCAAAAACTTGCATAATACTGACTACTTGACCATAGATGCTTTGGTTACTTTTTCACTCATTAGACCTTATTCTCTACTTTCCTGATTTATAATAAAACTTTTTTCCAGGACCTATTATTTCATATGTCAGTTCTTTCAGAAATCTTGAATAATATTATTAAGGCCTCTTTCTTCAGAACAATGAACTCCTAACTCTTTTAGACTTGGTGATTTCCAGGTCAATGGTCTCATTTCCATCAGCCCACTCCACTTCCCCTCACCTGCACGTTCACTTGCCTTACTGAAGAGAGAGGCAAAATATTCATTTATTTGAGGAGGCGTACCTGGATTACTTTTTATCTTAATTGATACATCATACAGTTTCTACAACTTTTTTCTTTTGCTTTAACAGAACAGTAACAGTCAAGAACCTTTTTGTTACTTGTTTGAATTATTATGATAGGTTTCACCCAGCTTGGCAAATCTCACTTTATCTTTACACTTTCTGCTGCATGACACACAACCTTGTTAATAAATCCTTCTTCCCCACTTCCTAGACTATCTACTCATATAACACTTTAATGACTTATACTTTTATGTGGAAAATGCTTTCCAACTGTCTTATCTTTGATGTACCAAATTGGTTTCTACACTTGTAATGAAAATAAAGCTTCCTCTCTGTTGAAACTGGCCAGCGTCTGCAGTTCAGCGGACTTCACTAATTAATGCCACAATTTCCTAAGCTCCTCCTCCTTTGAAATCATGACTCTATTACGCTGGCCTACTTTTCAGTACAGTTTAAAAATTGTGAGCTTTCAATCTAAGATACTTTTTACAACCTTTCTTTTCTTTGATAGTCTCACCACCTAAAACTAAGTCCAAGATAGCATCATCCCTGCATGTATGAAGCTCACTGCATCAGAAATATCAGAAGATGATACTGGTCTTCAGTCTTTATATGCAATCTGTGTCAGTTTTTCAGTTAAGAAAACAGGAAAAAATGAGCCTGTGGTGACACGAAGGAGTACTTTTAATCATGTTTGTGGAACTTGTTTTTTTGGTATATAAACCCTATTGCTAATCACTATTAAGTTAATCAATATTGTTCGAGATCCTAATAACACTTTTTCCTCATCATTATACAAGAGTTGGAAAATACCTGTTCTCTGCATCTACTGATCCTCTCAGACAACAAATCCGAATTAGTCTTTTCTTCATCAAGCTCCAGTTCCAGGTGAGATAACTTGTCCTAAGTGGAACAAACAAAAGTGATTTCAACATAATACTTTCCCATCCGCTTCAGATTGCTACCAAGACATTCTTCCTTAATCTTCAAGGACTCAAATCTGTGTAAAGAATAGGCTTGAAAAGTGAAATGCCTCTGAAAACGTACAGAATCTTGAAAGAGATGGCAGGTAGATAAGCCTTTGAAATGAATTTATTTGACAGTAATAGAACATAAGTTTGATTTCCTTGTTTAATCATTCCCACCATTTCAAGAAAATAAGATAAATTCTGTAATGTTTCTAGAGACTGTTTTTAGAACATCTAAGTTACATTATACATTTGGAAAACAAATATCTTTTCTTATGAGTACAAAAGTATAAAAGTGTTTGTTTATGAAAGTCATATGACAGCTTAGTTAAACTGAACAGTTACGAAGCTAGCCCTAGAACATAGTTAGAATAAACATGTTATTTACACTCCTGAAATGAATTTATATTAGGTGCTAAATAAAACTTATACTTCTAAATATTTTTGAAGTTTTGAGTGATGGGCCTACAAACAAAAATTATACAATGTTGCCTGATAAACTCTAGAGAAAATTAATTAAAAAGAAAGTAAATTAAAATGATGAAAGAACAACTGCAATTTAGAACACATCATCCTATAGTAGATATGCTAACAGATCACCTTTAGCACATACCAGAATAATTCCTGCAGTAGTACTACATGAATTTTCATCAACAACATGAAATTATTTTGTTTCTTCCCAGGCAGAATCCATGTGAAATAGCAAAATTATTTTAATCAGTCCTAATAAAATACCAACCCTAAAAAATGTCTTTTACCTCCATTAGTTTGATTTGTCTTGCCCGATCGTCTTTTAAGTGGTTTTTTGCTTCCAGCTCATACTCCAGGCTTCTCACAGTCTGTTCCAGTAGCTGAGTTTTTGTTATTGCCTCATCCTGAGCTCTCTGGTGGTCCCTCAAGTTTTCTTCCATAAGACGCATCTGAAATAATAAGATTATGGTAATACACTTTATACTGCACTTTCTATATAAATAAGTGATGTCAGTAAAGTGGACTAACTACAAACATGATTGATCCGGAAGTGTGTCAGGAATTACATTGAGTTATACTACTTTTCACAGTAATTTTTGTTTTATCCACAAGATGGCACCAAGAAAATAAATTTGGGTTAAATATCAGCTCTAAAGAGATGCTTCATAATACAGGTTTTATAGTAACAATTACATGTAGTGGGCCTTTTTTCATTTATTTCTTTTTACCCAGCTAAATTAAGCCAAATTTTTTTATAGCTTTCTAAATGTTTTTTTTTTTTCTTCAGCATACATTCCATATTCTTTGTCTGTTTACTGAAGTGCTTATTGTAGCAATGAAGCTAAAATAATGTATTAGCAACTGTTTACAGAAGTTGCTACCTATTGCTAAGTCCTGACAAAAAAAAGGTTGGATATCTGCATGACTTGGTGAACAGCTAGTTAAATGCTGTTAGACATCTGTATACTAATAGCATTTCATATGCACTTAATGTTTCAGAATGACTTTGGATTGACAGCTTTCAAGATTAGTATCTTTTAGGTATCCACAGAGAACTTAAAAGAGACGCAGCAATGAAGAACTCCCATACTGCACTGCAAGACTGTTTTATAATTTTTAATTTAGACCAAGATGATGATACTAATGTTGCCATGATCATTACAATCCTTGGCTTTTGACAAGTCTCAAAAAGAATGCTTTGTGCACTGTGACACCTACCCAAGAGGATTTTGACAGACAACAGACTTTGTCACTTTGAATGGAGGGCCTGTCTGTTTGTACTTCTTATTAAACACAAAAGAGGAAGCGATAATAAAGACTTTCAATTGTCCTAAATATTTAGTCTCTCTAGAAGGTCTGCTGTTTAACCTGACTACCCTATGTTTTAGATTTTGTTTCCACTTTATCAGCTAGTTATCATACTACATTTTTAAAGCCCTAGGATTTTAAATAGTGCCTCATGGAGGTGTAGAATTCCACAACCAGTAATATTTTGTCCTTTATTATATAGTGTTCGGATTATCTTTTTGTCAAATAATGGTTTATTTTGTTCTGAATTTTTTTCTTTGTATTTATTTCATAGTTGTAACAGAGAACACCAGAAATATTTTTCCTAAAAATTGTAAATACAGTGTGTATAAATATTTACATACACACATGTATACATATCTTTTATTTAAGCTGTCTATTCTCATTTATTCAACTTTAGAGCCATGTTCTCAATATCCCAGCTTTATGTTTCACATTTCATTGAGTTCTCATCCCTTCACAAAGGCTGTCCACCCCTGAATGGAATAAATATAGAAGGAAGACAGAATAATATATAAGAACTATACTTTCTTCTATTGGTCTTCTTTTAAATTGGATTTAAAGGAAGTTTATTAAGGGGAGAGGACAACATAAAGGAAGTTCTGAACTGGAAAAATCAAACTATTAAAATATTCTACATACAGAAAACATCTGTGACCAGTGTACTCTCAAAGCTTTTCCAATTGCAGAACAAGTATATGCATATCTTTAAAAGACTGGATTGCCTTTATGGCAAGATTTAGATGCTAAGAGACAGGCACTTCAAGACTGTGGTTGATTCTTGGCTGCACAGACACCTTTGTCATTTAAATCTGCAACTTGGCTCATAGGAAGAAAGGAGAACGTACGTAAAATCCTTTAGAGCCAGAATTTTCTCTTCTTTTTTTTCTAAATAACTGCTGGGTTTTTTTTTCCTAATACAAGAATATTTCCACATTCCCAATTTCTTCAGTAACAGGCATTAAAAGAGCAGCAGATCATCAATGGAATCTTTGTCATATCTTTTAAGATAAATGCAGTGCTTGACAAATGAACGTATGTCATAAACAGGAAACCCCATTTCCCTGGCAGAAGTAACATGCTGATCATCATCATGAAGAATGACACTCGAAAGCCTGCTGATGGAGATCAGTCCCTCATGATGAAGTACACAAAAGGATGATAGCAAACATTCATTGTCTTGAAAACTATCTGAGCTGAATTCTAGGTCAAAGGTTAGAATTTGTCACTGAACTTACAAGTCATTACCTCATCTTGCATTCTCATGCTTGTCAGGCGTGATTTCTCTACCTCAAGATTTTTCTCTTTTAATTGCCTCTGCACATCTGCAAGTTCCCTCTGATTTTTCTCCTTGTATTCATCAAGCTGGTTCTGAAGCTCCAGAGTTGATGTTCTTGAGACCTCTAGCATTTCAGACATCTGGGAAAAAAGTACATATACATTTTTTTTCCTAAAATAGTGCTACAAAAGGTTCCATCATGCTTAATACACCAAAAGGGTTTTTTTCTCCAGCTTCAATATTCAGCTCAGTATTTTCAAATAGAAAATTTATCAAACATGTTCCCAAGCAAATAAATTTCTATGCAGAAGTGTGAAAACACAAAACACTAAGGTTATTTTCTAATAGTATGTGTTCTCTGTCAGCAGTTCTTCCAGCTGACTGACGTAATGAACTGTACAGTCATGCTTCAGTATATCAGGATTAAGTTGTACGGTTTACACACAGATGGCAAAACAAATCTAATGCAGTAACATTTTCAGAATCAGCTGTAAAACTCTGAAATTCTGTTGCAACATACATCGGAACTGATCTCAAATCTGGGATCTTGTTTAAACAAAACAGAACTGTTTTGGAATGGTATTTTCAGATAGCGGTGTTCCAACCACTGTTCCAGCCCTGAAAGCTTTTACCGATAGTCTCTAGCTTAGAGAGACACTAATAGCTAAGTTTGCGTTTCACTTCGTTTTACACATTAAAAAAAATATATAATTATTTACAATTTGGATCATTTGCCTCTGTTATACATTTGGATTTCTCGAGCCTCTTCGGAGTGAACTCATACCTCCTCCTGTAACTTTTCAACAGTCTTGTTCAGTTGCCATCGTTCATTCTCCATTTCATTTTTTATCTGCTTTAACTGTTCTTTCTGGCGAGTTTCATCTTTTAGCTGCTGAGTTAACTGTTGCCGTTCCTGTGAAATACAACGAATGTTCTCCTGCAGTAGATTAAAAAAAGATATATAATGAAATGTAGACCCTCTTTTCCAATGCCTTAAAGGAATGTCATACACCACTCAGCAGTAATACCACCAGCTGATGTAACATTAAGAAAACTTGAAATAAGAAAAGTTTATGGAGTTACAGTCTGCTAGCATTTACAGGTTATTTTAGCAATGCAGTGCTTTTTCCTTCCTTTAAATTCCTAAAACACTGTTGCAATATTCGTAGGACCAAACGTAGACCCTTGTCATGACTCTGTCACAGGCAAAGCAGCAAATCATACATTCCTCTGCAGGTGCCCACATGTTGGCAAATCCTACCTCCGGCATGAGGTTCAATATCTATTTCAGGTTTCACATTTTTCTATATGCTCCTTAAGAGTTTTCTTAACCTTTATTTTAGGTTTAAAAAACCCAAAAACCTGTTCTTACGATGAGTGAGAAATAACTAGTGGGGACTTCTCATTTCCCTCCATTGCTGTGCTTCTACAGCACCCAGAAGCCCTATTCAAGATGATTTCTCATTGTGACAGATGCTGTGCAAACAGAACTTTGCAGGTCCTAGCACAGAAATCCCCCTTCTGAAAGAACTTTTGCCATTAATGTTCAACCAGACCTTCATTATCTGGATTAAATTTTGAATGAATGTGGAGCTATGTTGTATGCTCATCTACCAGGAGCTCCAAATGTTTCTGCTGTCACATTCAGGATGTTCAAGAACTTAACACCCTCCAACTTCTAAATACTGTCCATCAGCGGAATAACTGACTGTCACTAGTTCATTCTTCACTAGTTATCTTCCAACTGCACGTTGGGCCTCTCACCTCTTCCTTCCTGCTCCATAATAAAATACTTTAATGGCCCTACTCTAAATAGACATTACAAGACTAGAAAAAGGGTTTGTTTTTATGAAGTCTGAGAGGCACCATTAAATTGATTAAAACCAGATTATGGACAGTTTACATTGTTCCAACAGAAAAATGTAAATAATTAAAATCACCATAAATTCTAAAAAGCATTCCAAAACATTGTTTTACATTTTAATATGGGAAATATAAAATTTTGTTGAATATCTAATACCTGTGATGCTTACTTTATAACACTTCAAAAAATGTTAAATGTGAAAACACAGTAATATTTCTGTAGGCAAAATAGATTGGAATCTCAAAAAGTAATTGTTCTAAGAGAAAAGAAATAACATTGCCAAATGTTAGAAGTTAGAGATTTTTTTAGATTTGTTGTCTCTTTTATGTTCTTGTATAACCTGTCAACAAAAGACACCTCAGATACAAACAGGAGTTATGCTGGATGCATAAGAAGTGTGTAAGTAACCCTAAAACATGCTGGGGGCTAATAGATATTGTTTTGCAAAGCCTAATTCTACACCAGAATTGGTTTAGCTGACACCAAAGGATTTTAAGAACCTTGAAAAGGTTCAACTTCAGTACTTCAGTTATAAAAGCTGTTGAGGTCTTGGGACCCTGCTAATGTGCCATATTTGAACAGGTTATAAAAACCTCATGTGCACCCCCCGCCATTAGCCTTTCACAGATCATTTAACTTTACTATTTGTTTACACATCCTTGAGAAACAAACTGCACAGACACAGATCAGTGAAATACACGGTGGCAAAATAATGGTGCCAGCAGGGTGCTGTTCTGCATTTCCAATGTGCTGGAAAGGGAGGTAAACATCAGAGCAAATCTGGTCACTTTCTTTACTGCAGAGTTATCAACAACAACAAAAAGACAACCAAACAAAAATAATCAACCTCTAATGTGAGAAGAAATTTAATCTACTAACTAGGGCAATTGCCGAAGTAACAATAGATATGAAGAGTTACAATATTTAAAGACAACAGTAATAGGGAGCTTGATGCAAGCAGTGGATCACCTCAATTTTCATCAGGTCATACTGATTTTCAGATATGTAGCAGACTGAAATGTCCGATACTGAAATTTAGCTTTTTCTCTTTGAGTTTTATTCTGGCACCCTGGAAAGAAAAATCTGTACTTTTCATGTATTGCATCTCCCCACTTCCATTGATATATTTTTACTGTTTGCTACTATGTAGGATGATAGAACAAATACTAAATACACTACTAAAAATTAGAAAGTGTTTTGAAATTGTAATCATAATCATTTTTAATAGAAAATGCAATTCCTAGACAACCGACCTGTTGCAAAATTCAGTTTTGCTGAGTTTTAGTTAGTTCAACAATAAACTGATAGTGGCGTGCTGCTTCAGAGTATTATGGGAACTGAAGCTCAGATGCTTCATGCTCTCATTCTCCCCCTTAAAATTTCTCATGCCCAAGTCCCTTATGCAATATATCAGTATCTGTTGAGACATCTGACGTGCCATATGAATCACAGGACTAAGCACTTCCTGCACCCGGGAAAGGTACTATCACTTTCCAGCCTCCCCTTCTGGTAGATCCACATTTATTAGTGAATGCAGAAAGCAAAGGCTTCTCTGGGTATACATAAATTACAAGACTGAAAAAAATTTACAGCAGTGTTGCTTCTTACCAAATCAACAAGTTTTTAATGCATGATCAGATGGTTCACATGCACTGATTGTTCCCTGGACTTGATGAATTCTATTTGGCTGGAAAGGGTGGTTTTCTTACCACCATTCTGCATAATTTACTTCTCAAAAATCTTTTGATTAGGTGTTCATGTTATGATCTGTATTATTTAGCTAATAACTATGCCATAGAACCATTTCACTAAAGCATGATAAAGTCCTTGTTTTGCTAAAACATGGGCAGCAGAAAACTTGATAACTTGGGTTTAGGGTAAAAATATTCCTCCTGAAAACTGAGCATCGCAATAGAAATGATCTTTGTTTTAATAAAAACTCGGCATTACAACAAATACTACTTCATTCTTGTTATATTATTCAGAGGAAATAACACGTTACACGTAGCTTCTCATCAACAACCATGTTCCTTGGGAAACCCAAATTAGGATACGGTATTTCCCTTTTCTAGATTACCTGATAAAAGAGAAGAACACTGATAAAAATCACCATGCCTAGCATAACATTAATATTTGAGATAGACTAATACGCCATGCTAGAAACGAATGAACTTCCATTTATATCACTTTTCTTAACTCGTGTTAGAAAACATGATGCAACTATGTTGCTAGAATGTTGCTACTGACTATCCAAATGCTGCAGTTTCCTCAGCATCTAGCCTTTCCATACAATATACCAAATTTCAATATTTAAATTTGGGATTTCCTATAGGGCAGCTTCAATAGTCAGTTCAAGTATAACCTCTAATTTGAGTCTCCTTCACATACAAAAATCCTTGAGTGGTTTTCACTGGAACTGGCTGACCTGTCAGTTACACTGTAACCACAAGTCAAGTAAACAGTTTGTCAGTCGCCAATTTAAAGTCAATCTGCAGTGACAATTAATTACTTTGTGAAGAATTTTTAAGTGTTATTTCAGCACAAGTGAGCGCAACTCTACTGCAATATTTCTCAATTTCAGGTTGGTGGACAGACAGCGGTCCAAAAGAGAGAGCCATAAAATAACAATAGAACACACATTTTCACATACTCAAAAAAGGAAAGAAAACAAAATGGGGGAAAACAAGAGTAGTAACTTGTTTTCATAGAAACCTGTAAGATTATTGTGATGCTTCCTTATTTTTCCAAACCTTATTTGAGCCATTTCTTTACAAAATTAATAATTTCTCTCAACTGATCACTGAAAATTAAGAATGTATTTCACCTTACAGTGCTCTGCAACACTAGTTGTAGGTGCCTACCACTATTTACCACAACAAAAAGGTAAGTTTCATGTTCTTCCAACCATGGAAAGGATCCTGTATTCTGATTGTTTAATTTAAAAAGCACAGAATATTTGGCACTGCCATTCATAATGTTGGTATAATTTATATTTTTAAATATATTGCAGTACCCTATATGCTATGGTTAAGGTGAATAATAATTTAATTATATTATTTCCTTTTTCAAGAGAGTTCTCATGGAACTTCCAAAAGTCTTCTCAATATTGCAAAAATGTTGAGATGTGTTTCGTTTCTTGAAACAGTAAACTAGAGGAGGCTACCCTAAACCAGAGGTGATAACACAGCATGAGACACTACAAAAAATATTACTTGCCTGACCATCCATAAAGAAAATTTCAGTATATACTGAGGTTGATTTTAGACAAAAGCATTAAAACAAATTGTCTAGAATAATCAACTGTATTCCAGGTTTAACTTTTCTGAGAAGAAGTTTGGGATGGAGAAGGAATAGATTTGGCTATGTTTACAGTAACTCCTACAATTCTATTCCTATTGTCATTGTCTTCCTTATGCTGGTCCACCATTAAAAGTAATTTGTATTATGTAAAAAGCAGGATGAGTCAGTCAGGAATTAAGTTTCCACTGTGATAAGCATTATCACCATGCCAAAGTTTGTCATCTAAATTGTGAAAGGTAACACAAGGCCAAATTAGCCTACTGCACAACATTGTTTATTTAAACAAGCAAAATCTAAGGAGAGAAAGGCTACACTGTTCTAAACAAAAGGGACTGCTGATTACATCCTGAAGTCCATTACTGCTTGTATCCGGTGGACAAGAAGAGTGTAAAATCAGAAAGAGGATTAAATTTGGTGTGCCAGAAATTAGAAGTAAGTTCAAATAAAATGACAAGATGGACTCTTCTATATGTCACCTTTCCTAGATTTCTTTAATTTGAAGACCAAGCCTGAAAGCAGCATTTCTTGGCGTGATGCCCTGAAGGATACATAAACAGAAATGAAAGAACACACTTTTCAAGCATTTTGACCCAAAGCTAATCAAGATGCACGTGGTGCATTGATTCATGTTGTGCAGGAAGGTTGTGTCAGAAGGGAGTTCTTAGAGAACAGTGCAAAATGGAAGCCAGTGATGAGCAATGGGCCACCTACTGTGATTGTGCAGATTATCAGCAATACCTACAAATAAATTTTGGAGAATCAGTGAGGCAGAACAGAAAAACAGATTTAAAAGGGGAAAAATAACAACCAACCAAAAGCCTCAGATGAAACACTTATTGATGTACAAGAAACATCAATTCTTGTTACAAGAAACATCACCTTAAAAACATTATTTTGTGGAAACCAAACTTCCTTACCCATACTGTTAAAACCCTCTTGAAGCACATTCCATTTTAAAGACATTGCAGCATTTTCTTGTTGCTGTTGATTTTTCCTTTTTACCATAATTAACAGAACCATGAGAGAATGGTTAATAGAATCTTCCCTTGGTTTATAACCCACTTGTAACCAAGTTTCAGTTTCAGGTTTTCAGAGTAAAATTGGTGTTGAAAACACCACAGGAAAACATCTGTTCCATTAAAAAAGGGCCGCTAGCGATGTGCATGTACATCACTTTTGAGTCTGACTTGTTTGACAGAATCACTTAAAAACTTTGCTTCTAGAGGCAAAACTAAGAGAATTCTAAACTATCCGATACTGTAGAAATAAATGATTCCTCAGTAGATGTAAAAGGTGAATTACAAAGAGAAAAGATTAGGTATGCAACAGTTTCAGACGCAGAATATGATGACAATATGAAAAGTTTTAAGATTTATACACACTCATCTCCTTACTAAAGGGATCTGAATTTTCATCGCTTCTAAATCATTCCATTTTTACTCACACACAATATTGCCAACATCCCTTGCGACTGCTCTGAAGTAGAAGCACTCTCCATATGGTTAGTTTCTGGACTCATCGGGGAGAAAGCATATCCTTTCCTGGACACTGAGTAGTAACAAGCAAGGGGAAAGAGGACCTCGTGCAGAGTTTAAGAAGCTGCGAGTCCTGGTGACATGTGTTAAACTTCTCTGGTTTTGTGGTGAAATATACTACTTCCACGCAACATTTGCAAATAAGACAGGTTAGTAAAAAAATAAAAAGAGAAGCCAATTTCCTAATATTTGTCTACTACCAATATTTTTATTTATATCCAAGTGCAGCTTTGTATTTTTTTGTGTGTAAATACTTACACACAACCAGTGTTGAATGATCATTCAAAATAATAAAACAGATATATAAAATCTCAGGCAGTTTATTTTGCGATGCCATCTCCCAGAAATTTTGCCACATCCATGAAAGTTAAAAAAAACAATGAAAAAAAAAAACAAAACAAAGAACCCCACTACTGCAAGAAAACAATTTTAATTAAATGATGCTACGCTTTCAGGAAATATTTGAACATTTCAGTGAGTACTTTAAAACAAAGGGTACTTCAAAAAGAGTGCTACTCTCTGCTACTCTGCAGAAAACAATGGTGACTCAGATAAACAAACAGGAAATTTGAAATTTACATATTCCAAATGGCTCTTGTTCTTACCTGCATATCTTCTATCTGGCTTTCCAAAGACCTTTTTAACACTACCAATTCTTTTGCCTCCTTTTCAGCATGTTTCAAAGCTTCTTCTAGTTGCTGCTTCTCTTCCTGCAATGATAAAATTTGATGCATTTAGAAAAAGTGGCAAGGCCTTTAATCTGACAAGTAAATTAAGCTATTAAGTATGTTCACTCTGGCCTATCACTGATCTCCCCAGTTCAAGCTGTGACTTGCTTTTACACTGGTTTTCACTGGAGAAATCTTTCCTATACATGGCAGCAAACCGCATCCTGCTTCTTGAAAACCTGCTGGTTTTGCTTAGCCTTCACAATGACATTGTCCATCCTCCTCTTTATCAGTTTTTGAGCTACAACCTGTCCTTTGCAAACAGGAAGGAGACTACTTAAGGGGTTTGTTTTCTTAACTTACCTCATATTTCTTTACTTTTTCCTTAGCTGAATTTTCTTCTCCTTTCATATTATCAATTTGTTTGCGCAAATCTTCAATTTTACTCTCTAGCTCACCAATTTTTCTTTTCAACTGTTCATTTTCCTCAGTCAGCTCTTTGACTTGATTTTCTATACCATTTCGTGCCTCTTGTGCAGCGTTTCTTTCACTGGCAAGGACAGCAGCACTCTAGTGAAAACAAATTATATCATGTTTAAAAAATAATAAGAATCAATGCTGTTTTCCAACAGAAGTTTCATATGGCATGACAGCAAATATAGCTGGGATATAACATGAAAATGACAACAAAGACTTCAAATTTAAGTCTCTATGCATTACAAACATCTAATTTTTTTTTACTCATATTACTGTGTGAGAACACATAAGGAGCATTTTTTTTTCTCAGGCATACCTAGAGTATGCTTAAGTAATATACAACACCTGAACAGTCTCATGCTCGCCATCACATATTTTCATCTTAACATCTTTCTTTTTATTGCCATAAAATATTTTCATTACCAAATCCCATTGTTATGTAATTCCAATTAATCTAAAAAACTTAACAGACAGGCCTCCAAGGAAGAATATACTGACGAAGCGCAACTTCATCAAGAGCAACACAAAATCTAGGCAGTCTCACTCTACTGCTTATTCCAAGCACTACCATACCCATACAACACTCCACATCCATGCACCTATTTGTGGGACTGCAGAGTAAATCAACTTTGGGAACAATATCAACTGTAATATACGTACACATACACACACACACGCGTAAATATAAAGAGAGATATATAGTTAAATACATAATCATCACCTCAGTCTCACCACTTAACCCTCTCTAAAACATCCTACAATTTATTGTGGAAACTGTGAGTGGAAGTATGTGTCTATATTGTTATGCTATCCATACTGTTACACTGTAACACAGACCAGGTATGAACTTGTAAACATATAACTCTGGAGTAGAGAGCTGGAAGGATTTAATCTTTGCTCTTCATTGACTCGTCAGTCAGAATCCTCTCCAAAGAACATAAAAGAACACGAGATGTAATTTGTGGTTCTTGCCCTGGGGGATTCAGAGTCTGATACAAAGCAATACTCTGTACAAAGACCTGGTTCTCATGTACAGGCCCACTGCTTCTACATTAAGACCTTAAACAACAGTAAGAACACCAGAACAGACATGAGTCAACAAGTATTCTCTCTAGTGGCCATAGCTGATGCTTATGGACAAATAGAGGAAGAATAACTATGGGGCCAAATCTTTCCCTGTTACACAGTCCCAGCTCTCACTGTTTTTCCTCCATGAATGTGTGATTCATTAATTTCTCTAATCCTTTTTGAATCCATTTATACCTTTTTGACCTCTACATTATCCGGTGACAATAAGTAATTACACATAAATTACTGAAGGATAACGTTTTTGCATGTGAAACTGTATTTATCTGTGCGAGAACAAAAGAAATCCTACAGAGCAGCGTGGTAAGAAAATATTTTGTGAAATACTTTATGAAAGCATGAAAATCACTTTTCAGTTATGCTACTTTTGATTGTACCTCCTGATTTTCCCCCTCCCCGCCCCCAAAAGGAAGAAGAAAAGTTATATAAAAGGCTGTTTACAGAGTGCGCCCTCACTAGACTGTTTTCTAGCAAGCAACAGCTTTAGAATCATGCAAATTAGTTTGATAAAGCGGTAACTCAGAAAACACTCAGACTCAACAGGGTCAATGAACTTATTATACAAAAACTGGCAGCATAAGCAGGCTGACAAGTTCTGGTCTTTTGAAAATACTGAAAAAACTTGTTCTTCTAAGTACACAACTAGTTAAAAGTTCTGAAATAAGTCTCTGTTGTTGCTTTAAGTTCTCATGTAACAAAATTATATATTCCCTTACGTTTTGCTTTTTGCATACAGCAAAGCTTTGCTAATTAACAAACACTCCACCAGTGGCTGCTTTTTGTCTCATTTCCCGTTTCTGGAGCTGAGTGAAAGCAGCTGAGGCACGCTGGGGAGTTCAGGGAAAGGAATGTTGATTTGTCTGTTCTTTTTCATCCAACCGCCTACACAGGGCTGCACAGTAAGAGAGGGCTGCAGCAGACCCACGCTGTACCTGAAGATCCCACTGCCTCATCTACTATGAGGTAGCGGAATCTCTGCTTTCCCTACACAGGAAGCATTATTTACTTAGAAGTACACACACACACACAAAAGCAAACAACCAAACAAAACCCCCCAGATCTACATACATACATATAAATACATATATCTGTATATACATATCTATGTATTTAACCTGACAGGCTCAAAATTGTTCAACCTACAGTGATGCAGTCATATCTAGAGACCTGCTCCAGCCTGCTTTTTGCTGTATTTATCTTAGGATACTGTTCTAGCCACTAAAATTAAACTAAACTGGTATTCTGTCTCCTTTTTCACTATTTATTTCAGTAAGTTAGTAAGATGCTAGACAAATACATATAAAAGGTAGAGAAGTATAAAGGACAAGTTGCAAGTATTATCTTTATTAACCCAATTTAAAATCCTGGAAATAAATTGGGTATATAAGTAAAACCTGCCTAAAGTTCCAGCTGCCTGAGCGACCAGCACTTAAGCAGATCTCCACAGGTCTCTGATGACCTTGGCACCATTACAAGGGTTACACCTTCACATGAATTAACCATTCCCAAACAAATTCTCTAACATGTTAAGTACAAAATTCCTTTATTTCACCTGGAAAGGGTAGTATGTCTTAAAAAATACCAACAATAAATATATACACACACTTTTTCAAGACGGTAGGAAAACTCTCTTACTATACACAGGGAGCTTTACTGTAGTATAGTTGGAGAGTAGGCATTTTTCTTACATATCTTCTGGGCAGAGAAGGAGAAATTTTCTTCTCAGTGTACATTTCACTGTACACCATTGCTTCAACGTCTTTTCAACTTGTTTCAGACAAGATTGAAAAGAAACACAGGAATATCTCTACTGCCAGTTTACCTTATTCAATTGTACTATCCACGTAAGGCATGAAAGATCATCTTCATGATATAATTCAGGATGACATTAGAAAAAACAATACACGAGTATCTTCAATTTGATAGGGAAATTTAAGTCAAACCACACAAATACAATTTAGATCTTCTTAGAGGAGTAGAAAAAGCACACATAGCATCGCTTCTCCAAAAGAGCTGAATTACACAGCTGGGTTTAAATAGAAAAAAAGTCTATACTCATTTATCCTCAGTGTAATGAGAATCACATGCAGAGCTCTTCACTGGCATAAATGAAGCTTCTGGATTGTAATAGCTTTTGGCATTACATGCCATATCCTGTAGCATATCGCCACAGAAAATTAGGGTATCAAAAAAACTCTGCACCTCTTCCCTTCTCCTATTCTCCCCTGTTAGTCTTATCTGGTACCACACATCACCTGCTACCTCCCCTTCAGGTCTTCTCTTGGAAAGACAGGTAAACATGGTAGAAAAGAGCCTAGGTATCATTAGAAAGGATACACAAAGGAAACAAGCACTGAAGTGTTGTTCTGACAGACCTTGCAGTGACACCATTAGGGGAGAACCTGGTGGAGAGAGACTCCCATCCATATATTGAACAAATACATCAGGTTCAAGCCAGCAGCTATCAAACCATACACAGACACTGCTGAAACAAATAGGTTGTTGCATCCTTGGCTATGGAACCCTACCACACAGGCAGTGTACTCAACCAGCCCGAAACAACTAGAAAGCAGTATTACTCACGTAGAGACCATACATTAAATTTACCACTCTATCGTTACAGATGGCCCGCTATATTCTACATAAAATTCCCCTAAGAAAACATTACAGTAGAAGGTATGAAAACCACTGCACTGAAATTAGAGAAATTACTATGTACCTTGATAAATTCTGAATGCCAGTTATTGCATTTCATAGTTTAAAACTGAAAGTGGCAAAGCATAGACAGTTTAAACTGTACAACAGATGGTATTTGCTAACAGCCAGCGGTAATCCTATTCTTTTTGGTTCTGTCTACATGAGCAAGAAGGCACAGCTTTCATTTAAAATTCAGTGACTGGCTCACACATTCAAAAAAGGAGTTGAAAGCAGTTTGCAAAAGCATTAAATTAGAGTGGGTTAGAGCAATGAGGATGAAAGAAGAACTGAACACTCAGGGCTTGTTAGTACAAATGAGGAAAAAAGCCAGGGAGAACTTACATGTACAGATTGTGCTTTGGATCATATCCTTCATTCCACACATGACTTATTTGTAATGGTGCTGTACATAAACAGTGTGAGTTAATAAAAGGTCCTTAAAGCTTCATGACACTACATCAATTAATGACTCCTGTTGGTACCCATTCAGAAATCCTTTACATTGCTACATTTAATATTACGGGATGTTGGTAATGTTTTGGCAACCATTTTAACTAAGCTCATATAAATTTAACCCATAGTAACAGAACTGGGTAAAGGTCACAAAGTAATGATTTAAGCTGAATACGAAACATTAACAAACATTGTTAATATAACATGATCTTTAGTTCACAGAATTGTGGATCATCCTCTTCAGAAAGTTAAAATGAGATTATGTATGTAAAGACATATCAAGCACATAACAGATAAAACTGGTTCAACAAGATTCTTGAAGACAAAAGTTGGAATGAAATTCTCTATATTCGGACATATTTGCCATACAAAAAAAACCCCAAACCAACCAAAGAACAAAAACTCCCAACCCCCCCAAAAAACAGGGGAGAAGGGGGAAATTGTATCAAGCATTGAAGTGGGCTCTTTGGATCTTAAAATTAACATATCTCAATTCCAACAATGCATTTTCTTCCCTATGATATATAAAACATTTTTTTCTTTTTACTCCCACTTGCTAGTTGTGGCAGTATGTTTTAGTACGCCAAGTTTTTACAATATTATATTATGGAATGATATTTATGTATGGTAAAAGCCCTAAAGCATTTTCCTTGTTATATTTTGTTTGTCTGCCTTTGCTTTGTCTTTCCTTCCAATTTGTCTGTCTTCATTCTGTCTTCCAGGGCATTCAGCGCCTTCTATTCCCTACATTTAGCCCATTTCACATTCAGCTTTCCATCTCTACAATCTCTGAAGGAATAATAACTTCCTCTTAATACCCACATCCTTGCAGACTTCTTAAACACACTCATACCTTC